GGTGGTGACAGCTTTAATTGATATTAGTCAGGGTTTTATTGTGACTAAGTGACAAGTTATGCATTGTGTTTATTCATACAGGATGTCATTCTGTGAGATCAGTTCTCCTAAAGATGTTCCCTCTTTAACTGGTTCTGTACATTAACCCTGTTGTTTGTCTAGTATTTGTAAGTATAATGTGTATGGTATGATTGATGTGTTCTCAGATTATTATCAGTGATCTCTCCGGGGGGGTTGGTCTGTTGCTGACTCTGAAGACTCTCCAGAAGACAGGGTAAGGATAGGCTTGATGGAGATCTCTACATCAGGGTTCTACGATGTCAATGTGAAGATGTCTCCATTTGTATCAGCAGACCAAAACTAGGGTAGCTATAATTAAACCAAATAAGGAATCACTACGCTCAGTTCGTGACAAACGACTGCACCTCCCAGCTCCGAACCACTTCAACTCCCCCTCCCACTCCTTGGACGACACGTCCATCCTGGGCCTCCTCCAGTGCCACAACGATGCCACCTGAAGGCTGCAGGAACAGCATCTCATATTTCGCTTGGGAACCCTGCAGCCCAAAGGTATCAATGTGGACTTCACAAGCTTCAAAATCTCCCCACCCCTGACCTCATCCCAAGACCAGCCCAGCTTGTCCCCACCTCCTTGACCTGTCTGTCTGTTTTCCCACCTATCCGCTCCTCGCACCTCACTGACCAACACCCATTCCCACTTCCTACCTACTAGCCTCATCCCTGCCTCCTTGACCTGTCCGTCCTCCCTCCCACCTACCCACCCCTCCCTCCCCACTGACCAACCCCCATCCCAACTCCCTACCTACACTCACCTTTACTGGCTCCATCCCCGCTTCCTTGACCTGTCCGTCTTCTCTCCACCTATCTGCTCCTTTATCCACCTTCCCGATCATCGCTTCCCCCTCTCTCTCTCTATTTATTTCAGAGTCCCCTTCCCCACCCCAATTTCTGAAGAAGGGTCCAGACCCAAAAACGTCAGCCTTCCTGCTCCTCTGATGCTGCCTGCCTGCTGTGTTCATCCAGCTCTGCACCTTGTTATCTCAGACTCCAGCATCAGCAGTTCCTACTATCGCTAAGGAATCAAGCAAAACTGCTTTATCCAAAATGGTTAGAATGTGAAACTTGCTACTATGTACAGTAGATGCATTAGATTGAATGTACAGCACATAAACAGACCACTCGGCCCATCAGTCCCACGCAGGTGTTTCTGCTGCACGACTCTCTTTCTGCTCTAATTCATCTCATTCTATCAGCAGATCATTCTACATCTTCCTGCCTTATGGTTTATCCAGCTTCTCCCACGATAGACTTCATCCAATTCCTGTGGGAACAAGCTCCATATTCCCACCACTTACTGGCTCGAGATTTCTCCCAAATTTCACATTTGATTATCTTTCTGAATGTGTGTCCCATGATTGGAAACACCCTCCCTGTATGTCCACTCTATCTAAATCTTCAATCATTTAAAGTTGTCCATTAGGTCAACTCTCAAGAGAAAGGGACCCCAACCTCTCGATCCTTTCCTGGTAAATATAATCCGCCTGTTCTGGCTTCATCCTTGTACCTTCCCCAATCCCTCTACAGCTTTTTTTAAAAACCAAAACTGAGCACAGTTCTCCCAGAGTTTTGAAACAAGTTTCATGTAATTTCTCAGGCATTGTCCCTCGACAAATAAATCCTGGTGCCTGGTTTGACTTTGATCTGACCTTGGCGGTTGTGTGTCTATGTTTAGTGATTTAGATATTTGTACGCAATCTCAGACTCCTATGGTTCTCTACTTCATTTAGACAGTTAATTTCCATGACTGTGACTTCCTTTTGTCTTTTAATAGTATAACACCTCACGCTACATCAAGTCAAGGTGAATGGCACTTACTACGCAGGGAAGGGATGATGTACTGCCATTGTTGTTGAACTAGTAATCCAGAGACCCAGCTAATGCTCTGGGAATATGGGTTCAAATCCCAACAGGGCAGATGGTGGAATTAAAAGGCCCAATGATTCTTGTTATTTTTTATTCTTGTTTAAAACAAAACCACTTGGGGAGGAAGTCTGCTTACCTGTATGTGATAACAATGTGTGGTTGACTTTTACTGACCCCTCAGCTGCATCAGAATGTCAAAAAAATCTCAAAGGAATGAAACTATAGGAATCCCTGGGATTGGCCCAGGCAGCGGAATCAACGACAGAAACAGCCCTGTTGAACCCTGCAAAGTCCTCCTCTCTAACATCTGGGGGTCAGCGCCAAAATTGGGAGAGCTGTCTCATAGATTAGTCAAGCAACAGCCTGGCATAGCCACCTCCCTCCCTAATAACACAGTGGGTGCAGCTGCACTCAACAGACTTCAATGATACAGAGTCAGCTCAAGGCAATTTGGGACAGACAATAAATGCCCATCCAGCTAGTGGCACCCACATCCTAAATGGGGAAAAAAATGTATTGAAAGAGTCCTTGATATTCATGAGGGAGGTAGAAAAGAATGGCAATTTACATTAATAGGACAGCTCAGTGACTAGCACTGCTGCCTCATAGCGCCAGGGGATCTGGGTTCGATTCCAGCCTCGGGTGACTGTGGAGTTTGCATGTTCTCCCCGTCCTCCGGTTTCCTCCCTCAGTCCAAAAGATGGGCAGATTAGGTGGATTGGCCATGGGAAATAAGGGATAGGCTAGGATTATTCTCTTCGGAGGGGCAGTGTGGACTCGATGGGCCAAATGGCTTGCTTCCACACTGCAGGGATTCCATAATTTACGAAATGTTGTAATTATAAGCCTCCAACACATCTTCTGGCAGCTCGTTCCACACCATGCACCACCTTCTGTGTGAAAAAGTTGCCCCTCAGGCCCCTTTTCAATCTTTCCCCTCTCAACTTAAACCTATGCCCTCTAGTTGTTGACTGCCCTACCCCGGGGAAAAGAGCTTGGCATTAGGATTCGGGTTTCAGATAAGTTTCAGACAGACTGTCATGAATAATTCCAGCAACCAGACTGTGTAAACGGAATGGCCACAAACTGGGAGGACGACCAATGTAAATGAGAACAGAAACGTTTTGAGAAATGTGCAATATTTTGACATGCAGCATCTCCTTCACATTCCAGGCAGGCCAAAATCCATCTCCTCGCACTCACAACCATAACCTGACACATTCTATGTTTTCCTTTTGTTTCCTGTAATGAATGAAGTCAGACGATAGTATTGGGTTCTCATGATACAGTTTGAGGTCAATCACTCTGAGCACACTAAGGCAATACCTTGGAAAAATTTTAAATGGTTTTTCTGCTCCCAAAGTTCTATCCCTTCTCCCCTGAAGGTGTCAACTCTCACTGGCGTATGGGGTCCCTCTCCTCTCTTGAAGGCGCTAGCTCTCACTGGGGTACAGGGATCCCCCCTCTCCTGAATTTGCCAACCCTGATAACTGTAAATTCTGAACGTTCTTCCCTGACCGTGCTCTCTTTCATTATAACATTCCTTAAACCGTCTTCAGTCCATTAACTGGAGGTGGTTGTTAGCACCTTCTAGGCTTTATTCCTGAGATCTGACAACCACTATTTCTAATGGCCAGTGACCAAGACCGGCCCTTGCAATTATAAATGTTGAGGTGGCTTTATCAGATCACATCCCAGCAGCCCCCACAAACTACCCAAAATACAGTAGCTACCTGAAGTCCAGCTAAACTACTGTCTCAGCTACTGTCTCTGCTCACATACTCCAGGCCGGGGCTCCATCATAATTTAAGGAAAGCCACTGTGAGCTCTCTCTCACAAAGCTTCAAACAGTACTTCATATTTCACCATTAAAGCTGTCTCTGCCAAGGAAATATGAAGCAGGAATCAGATGGCAGCTGAGAATCTAGCAAAGAGGGAGTGGAAGAGTTATTCTGAAAACTGAATTTACTTTCACTTGTCAGATTAGGTAATACTGTTGGTGAAAGCTGTCATAATGTATTCAAACCAGCATGTTAGGCAGATTAGCAAATTCAAATCGGCCAAGATTTGATTCAAAGCAGTGCTATAACAATTAGAACTAATGCCTGCCCTGGCGATATCTTCCAAACAACATCCCTGAACAGGTAATTACACACCTCTAATGCAGGTGGGACTAGAAATTAGGCCTCCTGTTTCAGAAGTAGCGACACTATTAACGCACCACAAGTGCCCCAGTCAATACTGTCAACTCGTCCAAACGACTCCATGTCTTCAAACACAGAATAAATCTCGCTCAACTCATCAACTATGCTCTCTGGTCTCACAGAATCCCAGCCTGGCAATTTCTTAAATTTTAAATTTCTCAGCCTTTATTCCTCCATTCCATATGTCTGCAAACCTCTCCAGACCCTCAAAATCCTTTGAGACGTTTCTGTTCTTTCAGTGCTGACCTCTTAGAGAGCATCCTCGAATTTAAACACTCCATCTGCTGGGGCCCCAAAAATTCAACTTCCATGTAAAGCCATCCCTGGTCAAAAGGCCTACCGGCATTCATCATCATTGGCAGTCCATCACAGACAAAGGTGACTCTCTTCCACACTCAGGGTGAGTCCATAGGTGGCTGTACAGACCGATGGGCCTACTGCAGGGTCTGCTCCACTTGGGGCAGAAGGTGGTCACGAGGAAGGGGTGGGTGGGACATTAGTGTAACAGCACGCTCCTTTTGCTGTTTTCACCTGGTTTCTGCTTCTTCCCAACAGCAAGTCTCGAGGTGCTCGATGCCTTTGTCCTCCTTCACTCCGGACGATCTAGGGCCGGTGATTTCCAGGTATCTGTAGGCATTCATGTAGAGGTGAGATTTTTACAAAGATGTCCCGTGGACTGGACAAGAAAAATGGGAGGAACAGGGTGTTACATAAGAACGTAGGGGAAACAGGGAAGAAGGGACCAAAGAGAAGCTGCTGGGTTGAGGCAGCGAGGGGGATCCAGGAGATAAAGAAATCAACGAAAGGAAAATTAATCTGACTTCAACGAAAGCAAACAACTGGGCACCAAGATACAAGGTAAAAATATCTTTAATTTACTAGATCACAATTGTTTCCTGCATTTTGTTAGGAGGGAGATCGTTACACCGGGTAACAGCTCAGTGCGATTCAAGGATTGAATTTGCTCCTTCTCAACTCCCCCTCTCCCCACCCAACCAGGGCTGTATACCCCTCCTACAATAGCAACACTCAGCCTGGTCCCCACTGTCAACATTTGGAGCTATGGTGCCACTTACCATGTACTGGCCCTCAAAGTGAGTTGCCCTCCCCCAAATAATAAATCTGATCTGCTTCATTCCAGCCCCTTTGCAGTGCAAGAGAACACCTTCCACACACAAAATCAAAAATTTTCAAAAAACCAAAGAACTACAGATACTGGAAACCAGAAACAAAAACGGGAAATTGCTGGAAAAATTCTGGCAGAATCTGTGGAGATGCAGTTCTGAAGAAGGGTCACTGGGCTCGAAATGTTAACTTTGCTTTCTCTCCACAGACGCTGCCAGACCTGCTGAATTTTTCCCAGCAATTTTTGTTTTTGTTCCCTCTTTCTGATGTTTGGCATTGGCTTGACGATTTAGAGACATGGGCAGAGGGGAGGGGAACAGAAGGGGTGAACAGGGGACAGTTGTCTGGGGGAATAGGAGGACCCCCACCCTCCTCCTATTAGCTGGAGCCCTGAGTCTGGGAGGCCGGTATCTCTTGTGCTGGAAGATCAGTCTTCACTTTGCTGCTGTCTTCTTCCTCCTCCTCCACCTCTTCGTCTTGCGGGTACAGGTCTGGGTAGCGCTGCATGCATTCCTGCATCGTTCGGAACTGCTCCAGGCAATCAGAGCCTTTCACCTCTTCCTTGCTATAGTGGAAACAGGAGAAGGCCGATTTAAACTGCTCCCCACATGGACCACTTGCCATCCCTCCCAGGCAGGGACAGTTCCAATTGATGTCGCCATTTGGCAGGATCAGACCTGCAAACACATTTCAAGAAACACATTAAGAAATTGTAACAGAATGTTGCTCAGAGGAGATTTGCCAGAATGTTGTTGGTAATCAGAGGTGTGCCCAGCACAACATGATGGACTGAATGGCCTGGTTCAGTGTTTGTTCTCCTTTCACCCAGGAGGAGTCACATACAGTCATACAGCATAGGAAACAGACCCTTTGTTCAAACTCCCATCATAACCCCAAACGAAACTAGTCCCACTTGCCTGCATTTGGCCATTTCTTTCCAAACCTTTCTTATTCATGTACTTATCTAGATGTCTTTTAAATGTTGTAACTCTACCTTCAACCATCACCTCCTCTGGAAAGTTATTCCACACGCAAACCACAAAAATGTTGCCTTTTTAAACATGTCCTTTTTAAAACTTTCTCCTCTCGCCTTAAAAATATGGTCCCTAGTTTTGAACTCCAACACCCTTCAGAAAAGACTTTTGTTATTCATCTTCTCTATGACCCTCATGACTTTATAAACCCCCCAAAAGATCACCCCTCAACCTCCTACACTACGTAAAAAGTCCCAGCCTCTCCGTATAACTCAAAGCCTCCAGTCCAGGCAACATCCTGGTAAATCTTTTTTGAATCCTCGCCAATAATATCCTTCCTATAGGAGGGTGACCAGAACTGAATTGAAATGTTCCACATTGATGATTCCACTGGCCCTGGAGATCCAGCTGGGCCCAGGCTGATGCTCTGGAAACTTGGGTTTAAACCTACCAATGATAACTGGTGTAATTTGAATTCGATTGAAAAACATCTGGATTTGAAACCTAGTGTGAGGGATGTGACCGTGGAATTATCATAGGCTTTTTTGTTTTAAAATGACAACCAACTTGGTTCACCAATGTCCTTCAGGAAAGGAAATTTGCCGTCCTTACCTGGTCTGGCCTACATGTAACTTCAGACCCACAGCAACTTTGTCAAGGGTCTCAACTGCCCCGTGAAAAGGCCCTAGAGAGACAGACCCTCAGCTCCAGGGAAATTAGAGATGGACAAAAACTGCTGGGCTTGCCACTGATGCCTAAATCTCACGAATAAAAACAGAATTTAAAGTTCTGTCTGTTCTCTCAGGCTGATGTAAAATTCCAAAGTAGAGCAGGAGTTGGGGTTGTTGGAGCATTTATTTTTCTATTCTATTCATTTGTGGGATGTTGATGTCACTGGCTGGCCAGCATTTACTGCCACTTATCCTCTATTATCACACACATTGCTTGTGGGATCTATCTGTGCCCAAATCAGTTGCTGCTCTTCCCAGATTACAGCAATGACTATATTTCAAAATATTGGCTATGAGATGTTGTGAGGCTTTCTTTTCTCATTCATTTGCAGGATGTGGGCATCACTGGCTAGAGCAGATTTATTGCCCATCCCTAATTGCCCAGAGGGCAATTGAGAGTCAACCACATTGCTGTGGTTCTGGAGTCACATGTAGGCCAGACCAGGTAAGGATGGCAGTTTCCTTTCCTAAACGACATTAGTGAACCAGATGGGTTTTTCCAGACAATTGACAATGGATTCATGGTCATCATTAGATTTTTAATTCCAGGTATCTATTGAATTCATATTCCACCATTTGCAATGGCAGGATTCGAACTTGGGTCTCCAGAACATTACCTGGGTCTCTGGATTAACGGTCCAGCGATAATACCACTAGGCTGTCACCTCCCTAAATTTCAAACTACAAGGAATTTTACTGGAATAAAATGAGAGAGAGATGGTTTTTGGTGGCAGGAAGAATTAGCAAAAAAAAAAAAACAGGGTGGCAGATGAGTAGGAATGTTTTTACAACAGCGAGTTGTGATTTGGGATGCATTGCTAGAAGGGGTAACAGAAGCCGATTAAAAGGGTAATTTTGCAAAAGGGAACGAGAGAATTACTTGAAAATGTGTAGAAGATTGTGGAGGGGCGGGGGGGAGAAGAGAGAGAGAGAGAGTTGTGAGTAATTATTTATCTATTCCAAAGAGCCAGCACTACCATGATTTCCTGAATAATGCTCTCATCTATCATTAAAACAGCCTGAAAATATATTCACATGAAAGGAGAAGCTGATGAAGCCAGAAAGCTGTCAGCTTCTGTAAAGCAGCCAGGGAGAGTGAACAGGACCAAGGGCACAATTTGAAGATATTGAGAGTGTGTGAACCAAGGCGAGTGAGCGTGCAGTAGCAGTTCAGGGATACCAACACTGGCCCGAATCCTCCCTGGGGCAGGTGATGGGGACGCGGGGAATTTTGGAGGTGTATGGGGTAAATGGGGCAGTCAGTTTTCCATGCTCACTCACAAGTGCCACTCACCAAGATGAGACTCAGCTGCAATGGAATCTGCAGTTCATCAGCCTGCTGGCATTCCTGGTACATCAAAGTTGCTCTGCTACTTGATTACAGTATGGCAGGTTGTCATATCAATTCAGAAAGACAGAAAGGGTGAACAACAGACTAGGAAACTGGGGATGAAAGTAAAAGAGGGAGCGTGGAAGCATGTATGGAGAAGGGGGAGGGATAGAATCCAGTCAGAATAGAACATATGGGGAGAGTGTGGTGCAGGGTGGGGGGCAATGTCACTGGAATGGTCAACTACAGGCATAATCTCTGGGGACAATGGTTCAAATCCCATCATGCCCGAGGGGAATAAAAGAGCCTGAAAGCTAGTCTCCATAATGGTGATTGTGGAGCAAAAGGCCACTCAGCCCCTTCAGTATGTTCCACCATTCAATAAGATCGTAGCTGATCGCTTACTCCACATTCTCGCCGTTTCACTCCCTGGTCTACCAATAATTGATCTCCTCTGCCTTAAAAATATTCACATATTCTGCTTCCACTGCGTTTGAGGAAGACGGTTCCAAAGATTCATGACTGTCTGAGAGAAAAGCGTTCTCCTTTTCCCTGTCTTAAATGTGTGACCCCCACCCCCGACTTTTAAACAGTGAACGATAGTTCCCGATTCTCCCACAAAAGGAACCATTTTCTCCACATCCACTCTGTCAAGACCCCTCAGGATTCATTACATTTCAATCAGGTCAACTCTTATTGCTCAAAACTTTAGTGGGCAGAAGCTCAGCCTATCCCACCTTTCCTCAAAAGGCAATCTGCCTGTTCCATGTCTGGCCTACATGTGACTCCAGGCCTACAGCAATGTGGTTGACTCTTAACTGCCCACGGAAATGGCTGAGTAAGACACGCAGTTCAAGAGCATTTAGGGATGGGCAATAAATTCTCACTCAGCCAACAGCATCCACATCCTGTGACTGAATAAACAAGACAAGTGGCTCCCTTTGGCACAGTGATAGTGTCCTTACCCCTGGGCTGGGAGGCACAGGTTCAAGTCCCGCCTGCTCTAGAGATGCGTAATAATATATCTGAACAGCATGATTAGGGAAAGAAAATAGGTAAACAAGACAGGACTGGAAATAGTGGTGGGGGTGACAGAGAGAGAGAGAGAGAAAGCACAGTATAAAATGTTAGAGTTTCTGATATATTATGATTGGGTAAATTGGGGAGAAATTGAGAGCTGCATACTGTCTCAATGATTTACACACTCTTGGTGAAAAGATGCTTAGGGACACAGTGCTTAAGGTCAGATAAATCAAAAGTCAAACAGCACATTCCAAGAATGTGAACAATCTCCTGCATCATCTCCCTCCGTTCCCTCCTAATGACTGTCACTGTAAATTATACACAGCGAAGATGGCTCCTTCAGAGGGGATGATAATCACAGACATGCACAGAAGGTTAAACTGTTCTGTTCTGTTGCGTTGCTGCTGCAAGTGGCCTGCTCCCCATTTACAGAAGGGCAGAGAGAAACATGGAAATCAGGAAGAACATAGGGAGCTTTGAAATTTAGTGCAGGAATTGGCGCTGAGCAGATCAGAGTCCACCTGGGCAACTGGGTTTGGTAAAGAGCCCGTTATCTCAGAAAGGAGTTCAGTCTTCGAAGTGGGGAGCAGCACAGATTAACCAGAATGATACTGGGTCTAAATGACTTAAATTGAAAGGTTGGGTTGCATTCGAGGCTTGTATTTCCTTGAATACAGAACAAAGTGACAGTCTGGCAGAGGTGTTAAAATAACCAAGGGACTGACTGTCTAAATATAGGAACATTAATTCCTCTGTTGGGTGTTTGGGAGGGTGGGGGTGGGGGTGGGGGTGGGGGTGGTGTAGAAAGAAGCCAGAACCAGGGGACACCACCTTAAAATTAGAACCATTTCAGTGAAACTCAAAGCAAGCAAGGTGGTGATGGAAATCATTGCTGTTTGTGGGATCTTGCTGTGTGTAATTTGTTTGCCATGTTTCTTACAGTGATGACACAAAGACTTGGTGCACAGGAGCCTGCCATTCGGTCCATCATGTTAAAACATTATCCAGTCTAATCCTTGTAGGTACAGCACCTCAACAGCATATCTAAGTATTTTTCAATGTGATGAGGGTTCCTGCCTTATTGTCACTTCAGGAAGTCAGCTCCCCACATTTACTGCATGAAAAATATTACTCAATGCCCCACTTCTGGATCAATTTAGTTTTTAATCCACTGGTTATTGATCATACTGCTAAAGAAAGAAATTTGTCGGCTTCACTTTGCCTGGACCTCTCACCTTAATTAAATCTTCCCACAGTCTCCTTTGTTCCAAAGCAAACTCCTCTAACTTATCCAATCTTTCCTCATCGCTAAGATTTCCCATTCCCAGTAACATCCCTGGAAATCTCCTCTGGCTCCTCTCCACGGCAATCATATCCTTCCTGGAATGAGTTGCCCAGAAGGTCTAACTGGTATGTGAAACAGTTCAAGCATAACCTCGGTGCCTCAGATATGAAGGAAAACATCCTGCCTGTCGTCTTCACCACCTTATCGGCCTCCAGGTCCCCAGTTTCAAATCACACTATGGCCTCGCACCTCTTCTCTTCTACCCTGTCCCCACTGAAATCGGAGTACCTCTAATTCTGGCCACTTCAGCATCCTCCCTTCTTAACCACTCATG